AGTCCCCTAGAATATCTTTAATATACCTGTTCAGTTTGTCTCATCTCTAGCATTGAAGTTTTATGTTTATTTACCACGTCTTTAGGTCTTTGTCTTGTAATACAGTTTGTAATTTTTAGTTAGGCACAAATGCTATTTTCTGCAGTGTCTGTGGGAGAGGCGCTGGTGTATGGTTTTGGAATGACTTGGAAACATGAGTTTTCTATGTGATTTTTTTTAAGGATTTATTTTATTTATTTGAAAGACAGAGTTTCAGAGAGAGATAGAGACAGAGAGAGAGGTCTTCCATCTGCTGGTTCACTCCCCAGATGGCCGCAATGGCCAGAGCTGTGCTGATCCGAAGCCAGGAGCCCCTCCAGGTCTTCCGCGTGGGTACAGGGGCCTAAGGACTTGGGCCATCTTCCACTGCTATCCCAGACCATAGCAGAGAGCTAGACTGGAAGAGGAGCAACCAGGACTAGAACCAGTGCTGGCACTTCAGGCCAGGGCTTTAATCCACTGCGCCGCAGCGCTGGCCCCTCTCTGTGATGTTGAGTGGCGTGCATTTGAAAATTTCAGAAGAATGGTGTTAATGCAATGCTGTAGGGTTTTCCAAGTTTGCTTGGGTATACATGAAATAAATATTATCATTACAAAAAATTACAACTACAAGTAAAAGTGTCACATATTTCAACCTAAATCTCCGATGGTACCTTGAAGTTCTAAACTAACTCTGATTGGAGGTTCAGTTCAGTGCCCCAAATCTGGAACTCCAGGGCTGGCCTCTGATGTTCCATGCCTACTTTTGTGTTTTGATTAATGAATAACCTATTAGATACAAAATGTTAATGGTAAGTAGAGGAATTTAAAATAGTACAAACTTACTGTGAACCCATCTAAATTCAGTAGGGCTGTTTTGCACATAAAATGTGTGTGCTGTGTGAGAGTTTTAAATAATAAAGATAATTTATTCTTTACTGAATGAATTAAGACAACTATCTGAACCTTTCTTGTCATCTTACTGGAAGTAGTCCAGGTCTTTCTTGATAGGACAGGTAGGTCCAGAAATTACAGTGGAGGTAAAAAGAATACATTTAGATTATCCTGTTCTATTCTATTCTATTTGATTCTATTCCATTAGGTTCCATTCTATCCTAATGGAATCCTATTCAATTTTGTTTTATTCTATTGTTATTACTTTTAGTAATATGTATATATAAAATACATATTAAACATAAAAACTCTGCAGTGTTTAATTTTTACTCTACTAAGTTAATATTTTTTTCTGATCTTTGAAGCAACTTTGGTTATTAGAGATAGAGGTATATAATAACTTCTGTTTTTTTGTAAACAAGACTGAAGCTCAGAGATGCTCACTAGCTTGTATTAAGGAAGTAAAGTTCTCGGGGCCGGCGCTGTGGTATAGCAGGTAAAGCTGCCGCCTGCGGCACCATCATCTCATAGGGGCACCAGTTCAAGTTCTGGCTGCACCTCTTCCAATCAAGCTATCTTCTGTAGCCTGGGAAAGCTGTCAAAGATGGCCCAAGTGCAGCCGGGAGGAAGCTTCTGGCTCCTGGCTTTGAATCACCCCAGCTCTGGCCATTGCGGCCATTTGGGGAGTGAGCCAGGGCTGGAAGACCTTTCTCTTCAAGCTGATGCGTTTTCTGCCCTGCTGCCTCATGTCGTGGCTTTCAAGGCTGTCACAGGCCTACACGGGCTCCTGTGGAACAGTGTCTCTGGAAGGGACCTCGATATTCCATTTCTCCGCACCTCAGTTTGAGGAGAGTTCCTGGTACACTACATCCACAATCCCTAGATGTACCCCTTCAGGCAAAATGGTTATACCATGCACTCTGTTATGCAGTGACTTTACTGGGATCTGAGACATCCTCTGTAATAGACTATGTTTATATTTTTGCACATAATATATAAATCCTGCCTCATTGCTACTGTTAATACTGTCTTACTTTTTTTTTTTTTCCCCTCTCCCTTCCTTTACTTTTTCTTTTTAAATACACACTTGGGAGTCCATCTAGAGACTTTCACATAGGTGAATTTAAGAGAAGGAAAGGGGGGCAGGCATTTGGCCTTGTGGTTAAGCTACTGGTTAGGAAGCCCTACATTAGAGTACCTGGCTTGGGCTCCCGATTCCAGCTTCCTGCTGTAAAAACCTTGCCAGGCAGTAGTGATAATTCAAGTAGTTGTATTCTTGCCACCCACTTGGGAGTCCCAGATTGAGGTTCTAGGCTCCCAGCTTCTGATTGGCCGTTCTCAGCTGTTGCAGGTATTTGGGGAGTGACTCAGCAGATGGGAGCTCTCTCTCTGTGTCTTTCTGCCTCTCAAAATAAACACATTAAAAATCTTTGTAAAGAAAGAGAAAGTGATTATAAATCTCCTTTTTCACTTGTGTGACTTATCCTCATTTTGAATCCATTTTTCTTCACTATGCCAGATCTTTAACTGATTTGTTTTATAGAAAAAAGTGAGAACATATGGGTTTAGTAAACAGACAACTGTCAACAACTCATTTGTCATTAATCCTTTCTCTTTTTTTAATGGTCATTTATGTCTTTATGTCACTGGGGAGTTCTTTAGGGAAGGGCTCAGGTCAATGCATTAGTGAATGCATCAACATGGCTTGGATCTGGGAATACCCAAAATATTTATTGAACTAAATAAGTGGGTAAAATTAACTTGAGTGAAACATGAGGGAAATTAAGACCTGCCAAATATGGGAGGAGTCTTCACAAAGTTCATGGAAAAGGAGTTTATGAAAAAATGATGTATGGATTTCAAAATATGTTTGATCCAAATAAATTTACCTTTTCGTTTTTCCCTAAGCTTTTAAAAAGTACTCATAGAAGGTCATATTTCTGTTTTTCAATAGCGTGCTTAAGAAGTGAGTAGGATGGGTGCTGCTGTAACTGTAGTGCCACATGCTGACAGTTATGTAAAAAAGTAGTTTCTGCCCAGATAAAAACTCTCCTCACACTCAGGACGCCCAAAGCAAAGAGGGCAGAAGTGTGACATTCTCTCTGAGACTGAATCTGGGGGTTGCCTGTTGAAAGTCAAAATATTTTCCAAAGTGTTTCTAGAGCCTGGGCATTTATTATTACTAGTTGACTGTTCTGTTTGAATACTCATGAGCAAGGACATGGTAGACTAAGACAGACAAACTACAGTTCCTTTAAATTATTTGCAAATAAAATGAACATTTCAAACACAAATAGCGCAATATGTATTCTTCATATTCACAAGAGAAATGAGAAAGAAGCTTGGCTTTCATCTCGATTGTGGAATGTGAAGCCTTGGTGTCCTTAGTGGCTCTGCTTGCAAACAACGTGCATGATTAGCAACCCTTTTCCTCCCTCATGACTTTGAAAAAGGAGAAATGATTCACACAAGGCATTTGAATCATACAATATTATTGATTATGTATGCAGCCAAGATGGTCATTTGGTTTCTTCCTTAAAGAGGAACCAAGGGCAACTTAATTATCACATCTTAAAATTGTTTTGTCCCTTGATCTAGAAGTTTGAACTGTGGTTAAAGAAATTTGAGTAACAAGTAAGGGAGTTTTCTGTACTGTTTCAATCAGAAGGCCCTGGACTGCTTTGTTTGCTCTACCATTTCTTGGCTTTCATACCATCTTGCAATCATTTGCATGGTTTGTTTTAGAAAACAGTGAGCAATAGATCAAGTTAGTCCTCACTGGCTTTCTTGTTTTCCATTTTGTTTTTGGTGTCCACACTGCTGGATGTTCCAGAAATCAAGTTACCTTAAGAAAGGGAAGTTATTTTACCTATGGTCGAAAACTCCAGTGGCCTGTGTGCCTGACTTCCTCTCTTGCACTGTAATATGCCAGTCTGTCATTTTACCCAGTGTATTCCAATAAGCTTTAGTCTGTACCTACTCTAACCTTGTCACAACATTCATCCAAAATGCTACATAGGCAACATTTGTGAGACAGGGACCATGTCTCACCAGACTTTGAATTTAACTGCAAAGGCAGGACACACAATCATGAGGAAGGTGAATGACAGCAAATTATTAAAAATTAAATAATGAGGTGATACAAAATGGAAGACCGAAGTTGGATTCAGGTTGTAGATCTGCAACATCATTTTTTTTTTTTCATTATAAAAATTGTGTGAGTTTTGTATAGTGCATTGGTTAAGATTTTGGCTAGGGAATCAGACCTCATGCAAATCCTATCTCTACCATTTGCCCTCTGTGTGACCTTGGGCAAGTTGTAAAATTTCTCCAAGTATCACTCTCCCTTTTTCCATAAAGGTTGTTTTAGGATAAGCGTTGAGCGTAGTGCCCGGCGCAACATTTTCTATTTTTTAAATGTAGCCTTGGGCAATCACAAACTTTGATTATCTGCAAGCATAAATAGAAATAACTTTAATACTGAGTTGATGTAGCTGTAGTGAATATCAAAGAGGATGGGAAGGAGATTTATTGAGGCCATTCAATATGTCAATGAAGAGCTGAATGACTAAGTAGCAAGACAGAAAATGAGAATAAATAGAAATATTAAAATATTAGAATTCAAAAGCCATCAGCAAAAGGTTCTCCCAGTTTCAGGGACCTGGCAATTGATGTTTAGGCAGGAGAGGTAGGGGAGGTGGTTTGCTCAAGTTGACTCACTGGTAAGCAGACTCACTCTGGAGTTGTCCATGACTGAAGCACTGCACAGTAGTGAGGAACCTGAGACATGGCAGCTCTAAGGGAATTTCTGAGTCAAGGCTCAAGTCCCCACAATGTTAAATAAGGCCGCAACCTTCTCATTAGCACATGGCCTCCCAAGAAGAATCGAATCAGGATGTTTCAACCCCACTACGGTGATGCGGAACACGAGCTGGGCAGTTTTAACAAACTGGCCAAGGTCTCACAGGGACTGTGCAGTGGAATCAGAGTTGGACCTCAGGCCCTCCAGACCAGGAAAGCCCTGCTCAGTTCCTCGAATCCCACCGCCCCATCCGCTTTGTGACAAGCCCCTCACTGGTGAGACTTACTCTTCTTGGCTTCTTCCAGCTTGTCCTTGGCCCTTTTTTCTGCCTGCAGGAGTTGCTGGATCCCCTGGGACTGGCTGGTCATGGCAGCCTGCAGGAAGACAAGTGGCTCCTGTGACGTCTGGGAAGTGGTGGGCCCATTTATCCTGTCAGGAATCACCGCACTGCTCAGACTGTTGTGTCAATAATGAGTCCTAAGCACAGCTGTGAGTTCCAAACTGGCCTGATCTGACCAGATAGCCAAGGTGGAATCCAGAAAAACCAGTCAAGTCAGTGTGAGGAAGTTGCAAACTTTCCATTTTTGCCAGCATCAGCGTTTCTACTTGAAATAAGGAGAATTTCACAGGGTATTGAGTCTGATTATAAAAAGCAAGTGAGATGGCTTTGGGGAATATCAGCTTCCTGCATCTTGTAAGAAATCCTGACTTTTTTACTGTAGTTTTCATCCAAGTTGCAGGCTTTGTTCTCTGTCCATGCAGTACTAGTCTCAGGTCTTTTTCTTTCTGTGTCTCCAGCGATTCAGTGATCTGCTTGGGGCAAATTTATTAACCTTTTGCTGTGAAGGAGATTTACTGGCTTTCTGCATAGACGTTGGACCTGGGCTCTATTATTTGCTTTTCCTAGGCCTCAGGTGACAGGAATGAAAAGGTTTCTTTTGGCCATTGTTCCTCTAGTAATTTTTAATTTCTAGAGGGATCTTACTATGATGACTACATGGATAATAGAGGAAATTGCAACTGTGGTTCTTGAGGTTAAATTAAAATAATTTAAACATGATTTTTATATTATCTAGTGTGTGTATTGGGTATTGTCCTAAGAGAGGACAGTAAAATCCATCACACTGGATTTGATTCTATCCAATTGAAAGTGGTCGCAGTGAAGAATCCTAAAGTAATGTTTATATGTAAATACAATTTTTACTTGGAATGAGAAACTAATATTTTGATTGGAGTGAAAAGCTTTTATCCTGCTGAAATGATCTGCAGACAGGAGATGTTGTATTACTGCTTTCATAAACTGCACCTGTATTGCCTTATCTATAAATGCTGGGTTCAGTTTCTCTAAATAAGTGTATAGACTTCAAGACAATTGTAAAGCAGTCTTAGAGCTGAATCTATTAAGGGTTTGCTATTTTTCTCCTAATTTATTGGAGTTGTATCATCTGTACATGTATCTCTATATTATGTGTACATCACATAATGTTGCAAATGAAACACTCCCCTTCTCATGCCAGATCACTTTTTTGTCTTTTTGCACTCATATTCAATCATGTTATGAAGCATTTCATTTTTATTGCATAATTACAACAGCTAGTGCGACTGGGATAACAGACTTATCAATAGACATGGATCTTGGTTAACAGATATTTCAACTCAAGTTCAACATGGCTTGGGGACTGACTCCCTTTTACTAACTGAGTGGAGACCATCACTTATTTCTGTGGTTTGTTAATTGGGGGTCATTATAAAAAATTCACTTTAGTCTTATACTAACAGTAGTTATTATATATTCTCCTTGAATAAGACCCAGTGTTGAATCACAGATGAGGGATGGTTCATATGGAGCTTGGGAAAAGGACATCATAAGAATCAGTTTTCTATTGCTGTAGAAAATGCAATGTGTCCCTAAAGCTTAAGGAGGTGGATATGATTGTGCCATGATTTACCTAAATTGTCAGCCAGCAGAGGATTCCTAGGTCCACAGCAATATTGGCCCAACCCTAACGCTTCCCTGTGGACTTCATTTTATTCACTGACAATTTTTATAAATTATATAAATGTGTGTATCTTTTAATCCTCTCAGGGGGTTTATACTTTCAGATATGTACTTAGAATGGAAAATATGTATTCTGTGAATAAGAAGTGCTTGACACCACTTCCTGATGTCATCAAAAGATAATGTAAATGTGCACCACTGATTGGCTTTGGGACCACTTGTGCCAAAAACAGTGTCAAACACTGAGAACTCAGCAATGCCCCAATTGAATCTGGGCTTGACAAAGCTGTTGAACTTTGTATAAATTTCCTGTGCCTAAACTCTGATGGTAGGAATGGCCACTTTTGAAGACCTTACATGTTCGATTGAAAAAGAGAAAATTACTCATTTTATTAGCTAACTAAAAAGTAATTGTGTCAGGCTCTTCCAAAAATATCTAGGATTTGCAGTAACCATGTCCATGGCAGAAAATTTTAATAATGTCTCCTAAGGTCTCACACACATAATTTTTAATTATATAATCACAAGTTTTCTGTCTACACACAAGTTTTTTTTTTTGACAGGCATAGTGGACAGTGAGAGAGACAGACAGAGAGAAAGGTCTTCCTTTGCCGTTGGTTCACCCTCCAATGGCCGCCGCGGTTGGCGCGCTGCGGCCAGCGCACCGCGCTGATCCGAAGACGGGAGTCAGGTGCTTCTCCTGGTCTCCAATGGGGTGCAGGACACAAGCACTTGGGCCATCTTCCACTGCACTCCCTGGCCACAGCAGAGAGCTGGCCTGGAGGAGGAGCAACCGGGACAGAATCCAGCGCCCCGACCGGGACAGAATCCAGCGCCCCGACCGGGACTAGAACTCCGTGTGCCGGCGCTGCAAGGCGGAGGATTAGCCTAGTGAGCCGCGGCGCTGGCTACACACAAGTTTAAACAGTGCATTGCATCGTATCTCTGGGCAAAAAAATGCAAGGTGGACTATCTAGAAGTGATTATGGAGGAAGCAGCATTGGGCAGATGGGTTTCAGCCTCTGAATCTTCAAAGGATTGTTCTTTCAGTGAGAAAGAAGGATAGAAAATCCACACAGGAGCAGAGAAAGATGGCACAGGAGCTTCTCGTCTTCATCTGGACTCTGGATGGAAAAACAAGAGCGAACACGGGCCTCCCCTTTTGTGGATTTGAAATTATACTAGCAGGGTCTCTATACAGATAAAAAGAACCACACTGAACATGAGCTCATTATATAAATTGCATGACAGATGAGAAAATAAATGAGGAGAGGTGAGCAGTGCAGTAGCAGAGAGAAGCAAAAGCCAGGCTGGGGAATGTGAACTCACTATTTATGCAATAGATGAGCTTATTTTCACAACAATAGCTTTCATTCTATAACTGACTGGTTCCCCTCCTTATTGAGGCATTGATGTGACTTTTCATTTACAAAACAAGAGACTGTGAGCATAATAATAGCTTTATAAAATGTTTACTTATAGCCTATATTTTTATCTTGTTCATTATATATCTTGTATCACTGAGACATCAATGGTAAGCATTTCTTTTTCTGTTCACTGATAAAATACCAACTATGTGCCAAAAACATGGTATTATCCTTTATAATCATTTATGTTTCCATGTTTTAACACATTTGATTCCCACAGTAGCTCTAGACCTGAGCATAATGATTACATATCACATGAAATTTGTCAGTAACAACACTGAAATAGGCAACACCAGGACTCAGAAAATCTGAGAAACAGCTGAAGGACCATTGGCTCCCAAGTATAGGAGTTGCACTGACCTCACAGCCAATGGTCTTGCCACTATTGTATGCTCTCTTTTGTCCTAGGAACAATTTTCTTACATTTTTCATTATTGCTGATGAAAAATATGAAAAGAAAATCAAAAAAGGTCAATTGGCATTTTACTGTGTATAAACCATTAAAAATATGGGTAAATAAAATTTTATATGCTTGAATCAGGATAAAACTGTTAAAACAAATTAGTTTTGGCTTTTAATCTTAATCTCCCTGGTTATTGGAGATTTTCCCTCAAAAATTATTATTTTAAATACCTTGAATTATTGCTACATCATTTATTTTATAGTACTTGTTTTGACTTTACTCTTTATCCAACTTTCAGTTTTTTGTTACATCTAGAAATCAAACTGAATAAGAGATTTTTTTAATTTGAGGTGTGTAATTTTGGTTTTCATGTTGACTGTTAATGTTGATTTCTATGTGCTAATATAAAAGAAACACAGTTTATTGATATTATCTTTTATAATTTTATTGATGTTATGTATTCTGCTTATTATATGATGCATTTTATAATTATCTCCAATGATAAATTGAATATCTAAGTCATACATATTAAAAAAAAGACTTAGGGCTGGTACTGTGGTATAGTGGATTAAGTCTCTGTCTGCAGTTCTAGCATCTCATGTGGGCATTGGTTTGAGTCATGGCTGCTCTGCTTCTGATTCAGCTCCCTGCTAATGCGCCTGAGAAAGCAGCACAAGATGGCCGAAATCCTTGGGCTCCTGCTCCCATATGCGAGACTTGCAAGAAGCCCCTGACTCCTAGCTTCAGCCTGACCCAGTCCCAGCCATTGTGGCCATTTGAGGAGTGAACCAGCAGATGGACTATCTCTCTGTCTCTCCTCTCTGTAATTCTGATTTTCAAATAAATAAATGAATAAATCTTAAAGAAAAATCTCATGAAGTATAAGGATTTGTTTTTCAAATGAGATAGAAAAATGGATGTGTTGGTCACAGTAACCTTGTTAAAAGGAAGTCTAAGGGGGCCAGTCTTGTGGCACAGCAGGCAAAGCCACTGTGGCACCACATCCCTTATCAGAGTGCTGGTCTGAGTCCTGGCTGCTCCATTTCTGAACCATCCCCCATCCTAGGAAGGAAGCAGATGATGGCCCAGGGTACTTGGGACCTTACTACCTGTGTGAGAAACCCACATGGCATTCATCCTGGCCTAGCCCTGGGCCAGCCCTGCCTATTGTGGCCACTGGGGAGTAAACAAGCAGATGGACCATCTCCATACCCACTTTCCCCTGTCACTCTGCCTCTCAAATGAACAACAAAAAAAAAAAAAGTCTAACAAGAAGCAAGTTTCAGAAACAGTGTAATGTATATTTAGGATCCTTGTCATTTAATTTCTTTTTGTAAATTCTTTCATATTTCATTATTGCAAATTTCAAAAAAGTTACTAGAAATGATGAAATCTTGAAAGCCATTTAGGTCTTTTGCAAGTTTCAGTGAAATGCCTCTTATTTTTCCCTAATCCTTAACTTTGGATGTTTTGAAGAGCTGTAAGTATAAATTCAGTAAGCATCAGTATATATTTTTTGGGTTTCTCTTTTTTTGTAGTTTCATTTCTACTCAGACTTCCTCTTATTTTCTATTCCATCACTCCTATATGTTTCAGCTCACCATATGATCCTTCCTGTTTTTGTTCACATTAGTTT